TGACTCTTAACTTTTATAAAGAATATCTCTTTGGATTTGAGACTTTAGTCTTTGCAACTTTACAGATCTTCTTTATGCACCAAGAGCTTGTATCACTTCAAAGAGAAAGGAAAAATGTAAATCGCATCATATGACCCCTTTAAGGGTCTGTTCCAGGTTTAACACAGGTTAAGTTCTCTTAACAGCATCTGAGCTATACTATCTACTACCACAGACAATTTTATCCCTGTTTGTAAAAAAACGTGTTTAAAATAATGGAAGTCTATGGTGCAATTAATTCCTGAGGGTTTAAAAGCCGAAATGTGCAGCTTGATTTTTTTGATAAAGCACTTACATTAAATTCTTCCATACAGATAAGTTAATAAAACTGTGAAGTTGTCTGAATCCTCCTTTTAGTGATAACACTATTGTTCTAGATCAGTGGTGGCGAACTCCGGTCCTGGAGAGCTGCAGCCCTGCAGAGTTCAGCTCCAACCCTAATTAAAACTCACCTGCCTGTAGCTTACTAGTAACCCTTCAGACCTTGATTAGCTTATTCAGGTGTGTTTAAATAGGGTTGAAGCAAAACTCTACGGGGCTGCGGCTCTCCAGGACCGACGTTCGCCACCCCTGTTCTAGATGGATGAATCTTTGGTCATGACAGGAGTAATATAACTTTGCACAGACAAGATTAATAAGCACCTTTATCACACTTAATACATATAAAGTTTTAGTTTTGGCTTATGAAACAGTGTGTATTTTAGCATTTATCCCAGTGCAATTGGATTATTGGCTATTGGATTATTGCAGAAAATAAGATCGGTGACAAATAAAAGCTTATGATTCTTTTTTTATGATTATCTTCACAAATGAACACAACTTTTATGAATTTTGAAGCCTAAATACAATCGGCAGAAGTAAAAAACTAAATGTACACTATAAAAAACCACCACAGTCACATGACTTCAATGCCTCCACCATTAAGCTTCCGTCAACGCTTTCAGTCTTTATTTTAAAAACATTTTTCCTGAAAGTTTGAATTATAATAGTTCACAAGAGCATGATTGTAAACACAATGACGCTGTGAAAGTGGACTAGTGAGTAGAGGATTTTTTTTCTGTTCGGTGTAATGATGTTTGTGACAACACAACATTTAGCCACTTGTTAGCAACTGCCTTTTTCAAGCCATGTAAAAGCTTTAAAAATCACTAATGTATTTTTATGCTGTAGAGTAAAATGTGAAAATATCTTGTTAACCACAGACCTTATTTCCCTCTTGCCTCAAAAAACCCATATACTTTGGGACGATGTAAGTAGAAGTGCTAAAATCCTAAAAAAAAAAAAAATAATAATAATCTAAATATCTTCTTTTGTGTTCCACAGAAGAAAGTCATACAGGTTTGAAATGAGGGTGAGTAAATGATGACAAAATTTAAATTTTTCTGTAAACTATTCCATTTAAAGGGGTCATATGATGTGATTTCAATTTTTCCTTTCTCTTTGAAGTGTTACAAGCTCTTGGTGCATAAAGAAGATCTGTAAAGTTGCAAAGACTAAAGTCTCAAATCCAAAGAGATATTCTTTATAAAAGTTAAGAGTCAACCACGCCTACCTAAAACGGCTCATTCTAACACACCCCCACATGTCTACGTCACTGTGTGGGAACATTTGCATAACGCCGGCCAAATGTTCACGCAAAGAAAGAAGACGTAACTTTTATTCTCGCTGTAGTATTGATACAAATAAAAGTAATGCTTGTTACATACTATTGACCCAGTACTGACACATATTATTTATTAGGTGGTTGGCTTTGTTTATTAATTTTTGTTTCTTTGTTTGTTTGTAATCAAAGATAAAGTACACGTTATATTTGTGTGTCGAAGATAAGGCTT